AATTGTGACATTCAAAAGACGCATCACTTTTCAGCTACCAAACTCTTCTTCTCAGTTTTATGAAAAGTCAAATCATCTGACGAGCCATCCCATCCTCCTGACGCAGGGAAAAAACTTTGACCGGACAAGAACTAGAGTTCCCTGTTACACCATTTAACCCTGTATGAACATGGGGCATTTGTTTTAATGGCTTGTGGCAGAACCTGGACAGACTGCCAGTGGCACGCTGCTTTGCCGGTTTTCTCTTTCCCTGCTCCTCAGTTTTCCACCTTGACTCTACAGAATGTAGCTTTGCGGCCTCAAAAACAGGTGTTAGAACAAAGTCAATAACTTAAGTCTGGTAAACATCTTTGCTAAAAAATTAAAGAAGTGAATGGAGGAACCATCGTTCTGACTGTGCAATTTTTGGCTGGTCACAAGTAGGGTGGCTCCTTCTCACTGTTGTTATTGTTGTTTCTCAGATTTCTCTTTCACCATTTCTTGTTTGTCAGCCTTAGTTAAAGGTTCATTGCCTTAATGCTGGGCAGATTTACTGGAAGGGTCACCAATGGAACATTTACAGTTTCACTTCCTTTACTCCAAATTCCCTTAAAACTTGTATTGTATTCATGTAATAACATTTTACTGTCTTTATTATTTTAATATAGCACAAAGTTCATCAAGGTTTGTACAAACATAGCTGGTAGAAACGTCCTCTAAAGAACAACTTTTTACTTTTTTACTTTGAGTACATATACTTTGAGCCTGTACTTTTCACTTATACTTGAGCAAAGAAGTTGAATCAGTGCTTCAACCTTTACTGGAGTATTCTAGAGACTGGTACCTGTATTTCTACTTAAGTGCAGAATGTCTGTACTTATGCCACCTCTGGCCTTTCCTTCAAAGGCATTTTAACATTTGTTTCACTAGCAGGGACCAGACCCTCATTTTTAGGTTTGACAGCATTTCTAGTAGCAGATGGCTTGAGCAGAGTTGAGGCTGCAGTGGTGACTCTGGCCGGGCAGATTCCCATGTACTAATGATAAGTGAATGAATAAAAAAAAGAATGAACAGCTTGTAGTGCTGGGAGGGGGTCATTTATAGACAGAGACTCGGATGGAGCATGTGTGGAGGTGTGGTCCTGTTCCTGATATTCAGATACATTTTCTCCAAAAAGTAGCTGACATATGCCACCTAGTGGTGAAAGAAGTTTGCACAGCCTTCACATAAGCAGGGCTTTTAACGTTAATACCCTTGATTGATTTAACAAGGAAAATTATTATATTACAGCCGCAGGATAAAGAATATAAATAGTACAGAGTTAACAACAAAGTTAAAGGCACAGGCGCACAGCATTACTCTATAAAAGTGCAAAAATTTCAGAATCAGAATCAGAAAGGGTTTTATTGCCAAATGTTGAGCAGGTTTACAACATTAGGAAATTGCTGCGGTGCTTCAGTGCAAACATACTGTCATAAAAATGACATGAAAATAAAAATAAGAATAAGAATTAAAAGTGCTAAGTAGATAGATATATACATGATATATACATGAGTGCAGGTGGTTTGGCACTGATGTTTAAACCAATAATATAAAAAAAAGACTAAAACTAATTATAAATCCAAGATTTGCATGACAGTACTGTGATTACACTAAAGTTCCACTGTTGAAATATTTTCATAGATATGCTTATTTATTTATATCAATGTAAGTACGTCATGGGTGAAAACTGCTACACTGTTACATACAGCGGACGGTTCCATCCAATGTATGGAATTAGAATAAACACTGTATTTCCTTTTATTGGTAAAATCATATCAATTAACTGCCTTGGTCAGAAATGTTTGATTGCAACAAATATAAACGTATCATAAAAATAACTTGACTTGTGACTGTTTATGTTTAAATGGGGCAAAAACAGACAAGAATGACAAAAATTTTATTTTAATTTGCAGATTAATTTACGTTACATTGATGTTAGTCATTTGCATTTGAGGTTTCCCACAGTTTCAGAAAAGATTAGCTGTGTAACTGTTAATGTTAAAGACAAATTAAACAGGATGATCTCCATACAGGTGAGAGCCAAAGACTGACCTCAAATGCACACAATGTTTATCTTCAATTGGCATTATGGAAATTTCCATTACAGTAGATTTCTTCAGTTGTGACATTCTCTAAGTCTGGTTCATCTTCACCTAAATCTTCACAGTCATTACCGGCACTCTGCCGTTCGGACGTCTCCTTATTTGAGTATATCACAACGTCTTGACTTTCATAAATCTATTCAAACAATGAACAACACATGATGATGTTATGGACGTTGCTTGGAATAACAGTGATAAAAATAAAGAAAGTAAAAATTAAAAACAGTAAAATGTAAGAGAAAAGTGCAAATTGTATTAATAAATAATATGTACAGTTAGTTGTGTTGCCCAGTTTGGTATAATAAGGCTTGTTATAGCTACAGCACACTATTAAGTCTTTGAACTTTAGTTTTCTTACTTTATTTTCTGCCACACGCATCACTTCCTCTAAAGCATCTTCGTTCTGTGCATTTCTGGTCATGACAGTTTCATCTTCTGAAAACACAATGCGTAAAACATGGTTATGCTCTTTACAGATGCACATTTGAGTACATTTTTGAATGCCAGTGAATCCAAAATGTACCTTTTGCTTTCTGATGTTTGCACTTATAAACTATAACTGCAAAGATGCATATCAGTAGCAGCAGCAGGGGAGGAACAGTGTAACCCACATAGTGTCCTGCATCTGAAAAGCAGGAAACAAAAAAGAAACATTACACTTTCAAGTACATAAATGCAGAACTGTGGGCTCATATTTTCTTTTTATCAATATTTTTACATTTTATCATAATTATTTTATTTCTGGTGTGCTCACCTACAGCTGTTTTTGACTCTCAGGATCATTTTGAATGACTTACATTCACTCCATTCCAAAAATTAAACATTACTTTTGGAGTAGGTACATATTAATCAACAGCAGTTCATACTGAAAGACATCTTTAACAGGTTTACCGGTAATTTGTGTTGAAGTTTTTCCAGGCATTTCGACTGTGGAAGGTACAGTGCTGGTGTGCTGGAGAAAGACTGTTGGAGAACAATACTCTTACTGCCATTAGCGACTTTATTTTAATACAAGAAGCAGAATCACAATATTGTATTAATCTTAGAGGAAATTATGTGGTCACAATTGTTTCAAGACAGTAAGAACTTTAACTGTAACTATATTAAACAAAATAATACAAAGTTACAAAATATAACAAAACAGCTCTAATAAATGCAAAAAGATCGCTACACATGTACAATGACAAGGGCTATTCTATTCTATTCTATTCTAAATAGCACTAATTAGAAATATCGTAGTATATTACACAAACTTAAATGTATATGTAGTTGTCATTGAGGTGCCCCTCAGTGTCAGTGTCCACTGAATGCCATGAGTCATGTGGAATATTCAACATCTATGGCTTATTTAAAGAAACATATGACAATGATTTAAATTTTAATTTTAAATTGAAGTCTTATCAAAATTACAGTGTATGTCTCGTAATCTGTTTTACATATAAAAAGTGGTACAACTATTTATTTTTATTTTCATCTAAACGTGTTCATTAGTGACTATTTGTGAACATCACAGAACATCACAGAGAAAGAGCAGGAAGAAACATTATCTTGTAGTGTGAATCTGCTTTGACTGGTCATGTCAGCTGTTGCAGTGCCTGTCTTTCTCATATATATATGTACATATGTACATATGTACATATGTACATATGCAAATAGTAATATTTCATGAGAAAAAAGAATATTTTGTTAGAATAATAATTAGTTCATCGTATGATTATTTCCTTTAACATCTATTAGCTCTGCAAGGCTGGAACAGGCTGTGTCTACATTGAAGCCACCAAAAATGTAAGTATGCAGTGGTAAATGAGGTTTTCAACAGTCCTATTTTTACACCTGTGTTCGCAGTCATCACACTGCAGATGACACGATGACATGAAACATTGATGCGATAGGCTGAGAAAAGGGTGTAACTTACAGCTCTAACCATTTTATTTTCATGTACACAAGACACATTCATCTCACCAACTGACAGCTGAATCTTGGTGTAGTTTCCAACTCTCCTCTCTGAGTCTGACCCACACCAGTATGTCCCAGCATCTGCTTCTTCCAACTTTGTGATCACCACAGAGAAAGAGCTGGAAGAACCATTACCTTCAAGTTTAAACCTGCTTTGACTGGTTATGTCTTTGCAGCTGTTGAGCTGCTCTCCCTTACAGAGGAACTTCCTGTTCCTGTCCCAATGTTGTGGAGGATAAGGACACTGCAAAGTTAGTGGATGTCCTACAGTACCATTTATTTTAGTTGACTTGACACAGCACCACTCTGTCAAATGGAAAGAAAAACTATTTGCGTTTCAAAAAATATTAAACTTTCTTAAAGACATTTTTTAGAAGAAGCTGTTTTCTTTTGATTGGTGTAATGAACTATTATAATGACCTCTCACCTTTGACTTCCAGCTCAACAGCAGAGAAAACATCCAGGTCCGAGTTTCTTTGGACACCACAGAGGTATGACCCTGAATCATTTTTGGTTAAACTGCTAATGTTCACTGTAAATTTTCCTGACATTTTGTCATCATCAAGTCTGAATCGCCCATTTTGTTTGGTGTCAGAGGTGATCAGTGCCTGCTGCAGACATGTGGAGGGCCGGTTTCCTCTGCAGATGTACTTTAGACTGTTCTGGTACTGAGACTCATACGGACAACTGACAGACTCAGAGTGTCCTTCATAACTTTGAACTTTGGTCACAGTGTCACAGCAGCTGTCTGTTGAAAATGCAGACGGCATCAGTAAATGTGTTAAAGCCACAGAACAGATATGATCATTTATATTTAGCTTGCTGATTGAGATCTTAAGAAAAAAACGAATACAGCTGAACCAATTATAAAGTGTATGTTTGTGTGTGTGTGACTGTGTGTGTTGCTGTTTGGAGAAGACTTTATTTACCTTTTACTAATTTAAGCTTGACTTCAGTGTAGATATCTTTTCCAGTTCTGGTCACCCCACACCAGTATTGCCCAGCATCCTCAGAATGAAGATCAGAGATGGTCGTTGTGAAGATTCGTGCTGTTTTGTCTTCATGGATCCTGTATTTGTTTTTCACTGGTTTTGAAGTTGTAATAAGAACATCACTGTTGCCACAGTCGTTCTTACACAGATACTTCTCATAAGACTCGTAACCCTGGCCATAGGAGCAGGAGACATTAACCTCACTCTCCAGGTATCCAGTCACATGGATCACCCCGACTGCATTGATCAAACACCTCAGAGCAACTGCAAAGAAAGTATTACACATATTTCACTGTTTAATTTGTTATGTTAGCATTCACAGTAGCAATGTTAGTGCTGTATACACGATGGACAAGGTGTGGTATTCTGCCCGTTACTGCAAAAACAGATCTTTATATTTAATCTAAATCTACCTTTGGTCTGTTTATGTATTTACTCATCTAAACAACTTACCACAGATGGTGAACAGCAGGTTTTGAAAGCTCCACATCTCTGCTTTGCTCCGTAAAAATAGAAACCTAAACGGAAATGTACTAAAAGTATGACCACATCAGTTTGAGTTCCTGCATGTCATGGCAGTGTTGAAGCCTTTAACTTCTGCATTTAGACAACATTTTTAAACTCTTACATTTAGATCATTTGTATTGCACATACAGTACATATGCAACATTTTGCTTCTTTTTGTTTTATTGTCAAATGATTGACAAATATTAAAATAATTTCATAGTGCACAAACATACTAGTTCTCACAGCTCTTAAGTAAACAAGAGACGCACACACATACATACAATATGTATGGTTGAGGACACTCCAAAGTCCGCGGATGTGCTGCAGTGCCATTTTTTCCATTTGATTTGAGAGTGTTGTAGGGCAGCTGGCTGGAAATATGTTCTTATGTTAACTTCTCCTTGCCTTTAAAACTCAGGTGGAGTTTCTGGGCTGGCTTCTCTCTGCTGCTCCGCTCCTGGGTGGAGTTTCTCAAATGAAACAATCCTTCCTACACTTGCCTAGTCGTGGAGTATATCAAGCTGGAAGTTGCAACAGTTCTCTTCTAGATTGTTGTTAGTATGTGGTGACTATTAGGCCATCTCTGTTACCTGTTACTTGCAAGTACCTGCTTGTTCTAACCCAGTCTTGTCTTACTTCTCCTAGTTACCTGCTCCACACCATCACAGAACCCTTGAATATCTGGAAACCTGTTGCCTGTGGAAACCTTCAGTTCTACTTACCAGCTCTAACACCAGCTTTCTGTAATCTCTCATAGGAAGGACTTACATGTGCAATAACTACCTCCGAGGCTCCTCTCACTCCTAACAAAAGTAAGACTATTAATCACTGTCTTCGTCATGAACTCCAATTAATCCTTTGTCTCCTCTCTAACAGAGTTCCCATATGCCAGTTTGTAATGATGGTGAATTCTACCACAAACTGCTTTCAAACCACAAACAAGTCAAACAGAAACACTTTAAACCTGCCAGACATTATTTGAATCTGCTCTTTGGGTCTGCTTTTTGCCAAAACATGACAGTGCGAGAGTTTGTTTCGACACTTAGACTTTAACTTCTGGGATGACAGCCAGCTCTGTCTACTGACATGTAAGATTACAGGGAGTGCAGAATTATTAGGCAAATGAGTATTTTGTCCACATCATCCTCTTCATGCATGTTGTCTTACTCCAAGCTGTATAGGCTCGAAAGCCTACTACCAATTAAGCATATTAGGTGATGTGCATCTCTGTAATGAGAAGGGGTGTGGTCTAATGACATCAACACCCTATATCAGGTGTGCATAATTATTAGGCAACGTCCTTTCCTTTGGCAAAATGGGTCAAAAGAAGGACTTGACAGGCTCAGAAAAGTCAAAAATAGTGAGATATCTTGCAGAGGGATGCAGCAGTCTCAAAATTGCAAAGCTTCTGAAGCGTGATCATCGAACAATCAAGCGTTTCATTCAAAATAGTCAACAGGGTCGCAAGAAGCGGGTGGAAAAACCAAGGCGCAAAATAACTGCCCATGAACTGAGAAAAGTCAAGCGTGCAGCTGCCAAGATGCCACTTGCCACCAGTTTGGCCATATTTCAGAGCTGCAACATCACTGGAGTGCCCAAAAGCACAAGGTGTGCAATACTCAGAGACATGGCCAAGGTAAGAAAGGCTGAAAGACGACCACCACTGAACAAGACACACAAGCTGAAACGTCAAGACTGGGCCAAGAAATATCTCAAGACTGGGCCAAGAAATATCTCAAGACTGGTTTTTCTAAGGTTTTCTGGACTGATGAAATGAGAGTGAGTCTTGATGGGCCAGATGGATGGGCCCGTGGCTGGATTGGTAAAGGGCAGAGAGCTCCAGTCCGACTCAGACGCCAGCAAGGTGGAGGTGGAGTACTGGTTTGGGCTGGTATCATCAAAGATGAGCTTGTGGGGCCTTTTCGGGTTGAGGATGGAGTCAAGCTCAACTCCCAGTCCTACTGCCAGCTTCTGGAAGACACCTTCTTCAAGCGGTGGTACAGGAAGAAGTCTGCATCCTTCAAGAAAAACATGATTTTCATGCAGGACAATGCTCCATCACATGCGTCCAAGTACTCCACAGCGTGGCTGGCAAGAAAGGGTATAAAAGAAGAAAAACTAATGACATGGCCTCCTTGTTCACCTGATCTGAACCCCATTGAGAACCTGTGGTCCATCATCAAATGTGAGATTTACAAGGAGGGAAAACAGTACACCTCTCTGAACAGTGTCTGGGAGGCTGTGGTTGCTGCTGCACGCAATGTTGATGGTGAACAGATCAAAACACTGACAGAATCCATGGATGGCAGGCTTTTGAGTGTCCTTGCAAAGAAAGGTGGCTATATTGGTCGCTGATTTGTTTTTGTTTTGTTTTTGAATGTCAGAAATGTATATTTGTGAATGTGGAGATGTTATATTGGTGTCACTGGTAAAAATAAATAATTGAAATGGGTATATATTTGTTTTTTGTTAAGTTGTCTAATAATTATGCACAGTAATAGTCACCTGCACACACAGATATCCCCCTAAAATAGCTAAAACTAAAAACAAACTAAAAACTACTTCCAAAAACATTCAGCTTTGATATTAATGAGTTTTTTTGGGTTCATTGAGAACATGGTTGTTGTTCAATAATAAATTTATTCCTCAAAAATACAACTTGCCTAATAATTCTGCACTCCCTGTATACTGTTGTTGTATTATAAACAACAGTCTAAGGAGCTTGGAAAGCCTGAAGAGAAAGAGAAAGAACACACACATGTAAAAGAAGCTCTCAAAACATGCAGTTATGCTAATTGGCTTTCATCAAGTCAGCAAAGATGCACGGGAAAGAAGATCAGACACCATCTAGGGAGGATAAGAAAGACAAACACAACAACATTGTCATCCCCTATGTGGCCTGTGTATCAGAAAAACTCACGAGAGTCTTCTCCAAGCACGACATCCCAGTTTACTTCAGACCCAGCAACACACTCAGACAGAAACTGGTTCAGCCCAAAGACAAAACTCCTAAACACAAACTTAATAATGTGGTGTATGCTGTATAATATAGCGAGGAATGCCCAGACCTCTACATTGAAGAGACCAAACAGCCACTTCATAAACATATGGCACAACATAGAAGAGCCACCTCCACGGGACAAGACAAGGTCCATCTGCATCTAAAGGACAAAGGTCACTCTTTTGAGGATGCCAGTGTTCACATTTTGGACAGAGAAGACAGATGGTTTGAAAGAGGAGTAAAAGAAGCAATTTATGTCCACTGTGAGCGACCATCTTTGAACAGAGGCGGTGGTTTACGACACCAACTGTCTGCCATCCAGTTTTGAGATCCCTTCCCAGACACCTTAACGCCCACTCACATTAGAGGTATTTTATGTCATGCAAACGTTAAAGCCAAATGCAAAGACAGACTGTCAGAACAGCAGGGATGGAGCATTCTTGGGTGGCCCTTCTCATAAAAGAATTTAAAAATTTATAAAATTGTTGATATATGCCATCTAGTGGTGAAAGAAGTATTGCTAGGCTTTGCTGTCAAAACATTACATGAACTTCTGTGTTTAACCACCCTGTGTCTGAGGAACCAGCATTGACTCAGCCTCAGAAAATTATGACTCAGACACAAGAACAAGATACTCAGCAGCTAAAGAAAAACATGGAGTTGTGCAACTGCAAGGAGTGAGAGCTTTTCTCTCAGAGTGTGGAGCTGAAGAATAGGAGTTGGATTCATTGTGAAGGGCGTGAGCTAGCTGATTATTATGGAGGATGCTGTGAGGAGTTAGATATCAAATATTGCATATGTTAAAAAAAAAAAACTTTAAAAAAGAAGAAAAAAAATTGGATGAGATTATTTCATGAGTGATTGCATGACCCTGTCTATCAAAATAACAATCACAAAGACAGACCACAGTAGGTTTGTTCTTAGGAAACTGTTCCTGTAGCCTTTAAACAGCATGTTGAACCATCCAGAATTTATGCAAAGACACTGTGATATAATTTTATTTCAATTTTAATATCTGGATACCCTGAAATACTTACCACTACAGTCATTTATATTTTTTACGCATTCAATATGAATGAGTGATGCTTATTTCGAATACTGCAGCATAATTACTGTATTCAGTGTTACACTGAAACAGTGCCAGCAGAGGGCTCAGTGTGACACACTAAGCACCAATACTGAAAGAGTTTTGCTTTTTCCTTTTTTTTAATTTCACTTTCAGTTTACTAAAAGTCATAAATGGTTGTACGGCTTAAATGCCTGCCCAGAGACCAGTTTCAGAAAATGGGTTTAGTGAAAACTCTTAAACTGCTCAATGGACGGTTTTCTTCAACAAATTTTGAAAACTAGCAAAACTGGTAAAGTGACTAAACTAAATTGGCAGACGGAAAACAGAGTGGGGAATGAGGGTGAGCAGACATTAACGATGCAACACTGACACAGAGAAACACCGTCCTAAAATACACAGAGGGAGCAATCAGGGGATAAGAGACAGGAGGGAAACACAGCTGGGTCAAATCAGGGCTGACAAGACAAGGGAGAGCAAAACCAGACACACTACACACAGAACAGGGACTATCAAAGTAAAACAGGAAATACAGAACACTGGGAAGCCACATTACAAAACCTAAAACTGGACTCAGAAAATACAAAAGGGCTAGGGAGCTAGACACAGTGAGAAAAACACACTACAGTGTAAAAACCATGAGGAAGCCCAAAATAAAAAAGGCGGACCATGGACCGTGACATGATGTCCATCAGTGAAAAAAGTATTCACACTTGCTTGGTTGAAAAAAAAGTATTCATTCACTATTTTAGTTAAAATACAGAAGTCTTATCAGTACATTATACTTTAAGGAGAAGCAGTAAAACCCACCTGCAAAACATGTTCCCTCTGACTGACACAGCCCGTTTGCTTTTATCTGTAATTTAATCTATAAATATTCACAGGATGTTTTTCATGATATTAATGAAGTAGGGATCGGATGTTGCCTTCAGAGATGGAGACGAGGCGAGCCTGAGGACAGCTAGGGCCAACCTTTCCCGTGGCATCAGAGAGGCTAAGAGACAGTACTCCAGGAAAATATCTCATTACTTCAAAGACAGCAGAGACTCACGGAGCCTGTGGCGGGGCATTCAGACCATCACAGATTACAAGCCCCCACCACAGACCTGTGATAGCACTATCCCCCTGCTGAACGAGCTGAATACTTTCTTTGCTCTTCATCAAGTTTGCGGACGACACAACGGTGGTGGGTCTCATTAGCAACAGGGATGAGACCGACTACAGAAGTGAGGTGAGACGCCTGGCCACGTGGTGTGCTGACAACAATCTCTCTCTGAATGTGGAGAAGACGAAGGAGATTGTTGTGGACTTCAGGAGAATGCACACCCAACATGCTCCTCTGACCATTGACGGAGCGTCTGTGGAGAGAGTGAGCAGCACCAAGTTCTTGGGTGTGCACATCACAGAGGATCTCTCCTGGACGTACAACACCACAGCACTGGCCAAGAAATCACAGCAGCGTCTCCTTTTTCTCCGCAAACTAAGAAGAGCAGGAGCACCAGCCCCCATCATGTACACTTTCTACAGAGGCACCATCGAGAGCATCCTGTCGAGCTGCATCACTGTGTGGTTTGGAGCCTGCAATGCGTCCTGTCATAGAACCCTCCAACGCATAGTGAGAGCTGCAGAGAGGATCATTGGTGTCTCTCTCCCCTCCCTCCAGGACATTTACAGCACCCGTCTCACTAAAAAAGCCCTTTGCATAGCGGCTGATCCCACGCACCCAATGCAAAGCTTCTTCAAGCTGCTGCCGTCAGGGAGGAGACTGCGGAGTCTCCAGGCCAGGACCAGCAGACTGAAGGACAGCTTCATCCATCAGGCTGTCAGGAAGCTTAACTCCCTCCCGATTCTGCCTCTTCTCCTCTATGGTCTCACTGAACTCTGTCACATACACACACACACACACACACACACACACACACCACACACACACACACACACCACACACACACACACACACACACACACACACTCTCTGACTCACTCACTGGCCTGCACCAGTTACCAGTCACTTTGTGGAGCATTGGACTGCCATTACGTCATAAGACTTTGTTGTTATACTATCTCTTACCGTACATTACTAAATCTCCATTTGCACTATTTGCCTATTTGCACTACTCTGCCTGGTTTACACTCAATGTCATTTACCCTTACCTGAATATTGTATATTGTATATTGCATAGCTTTCTTGTTAATTTGTATTGTATTTATTTACTTTTTAATTATTTTATTTGCATTTTTTAATCACTCTCTTATTTAAATGTTCATTTGCTATTTCATCTAGGGTTTGAGAGTAACGAAATTTCTATTCTCCGTATGTCCTGTACATGTGGCAGAATTGACAAATAAAGTTGACTTTGACTTTGACTTTGACTTTGTAAGACAGTGACAATGTTGAACAACAGCGGTACTTTGGTGAGCACCTCGTGTTAAGGATGAATCAAACAGGATCTGCATACAATTGAGACCCACAGTTTAAGCACATATGTACATATTTATCTTCTGTGAGCTTTATGGTAATTTTCATTGCAGTAGCGTTCTTCAGTTGTAACGTTTTCGTAATCTGGTTCATCTCCGCCTGGATCATCAAAGTGGTTCAAGGCGCTTTGCTGTTTGAAGGTCACCACAAATTCTTGATTTCCATAAATCTAAAGAATCAACAAAGATAGTTAGAGGCTAGGGAACCACATATGCTGCAGAGACCCTGGTTGCAGTATATGAGTATACATAGGCTCATATAATATATGTAGTGACAACTTTTATTACAAGAAATATAATAAAAATGTTTTAAATGCAGATGTTTTACATATGACAGATACTGACCGAACCACAGAAGCTGATTTAACCTCCTAGGACCTGGCGTCCACATATGTGGACATCACATTTTGCGTTATTTAGACCAGAATACTCAATTTTGCTCAACATGGGCCTGATTTCTACTTACGAGGATATTATACTGCTACTGTTCTATCAAAATTAAAAAAAAATATATCCTCATATGTGGCTCTTATTTTTCTTAAAAAAAAAAAGGTTAAAAAAATGTAGTAATTCTTTGTTTTTACATTAATTGGGCCTCAACATGCCCAAATATCAAGGAGAAATTAAAAATGCATGTCGTGGAAGAGTTTGGGTCTTAAGAGGTTAAAGTAGCTACAAGTTCTAAAACTGGATGACTTCCACACATCATAGCACGACTATAAAATCCATTAATTTCCAATTAATGTCACATTATACTAAAGAAGCATAAAACCAGCTGAGTGAGCTCTTCTCTTAAATTTTTCACTTTTCTGTTCTAAACATCACAGTAGTCGACACCACTCTATAACATTTCTTTTCATCACTAAATCATTTTTAGTTTTAAAAACTCCTTCTGTCCACAAGCGTCCCTGAGATAACAAGTTTAAATCCAAACCAAAGCAGACTGATAACCAGTTAGCTGGTCAATGTCTCAGTTTAATCAATAATCGTGTGTGTGTGTGTGTGTGTGTGTGTGTGTGTGTGTGTGTGTGTATTATACACATATAGGCTTTGGACTTACTCCACCTTCTTCTGCATCTATCACATCATCTGCTTTGGGTGTATTTCTGCTCATGACAGCTTTAGTTGCTGAAAATACAGTTTAAGAAATTTTTCAGCTCTTTCTGCATGCACATTTGAGTGTAGAGTCTGAATATGTGTGTAAATATAAACTATAGCATACCTCTCACATTGTAACATTTGTACTTATAAATAATAACCAGGACACATATTAGTAAAACCACAGGGACAACAGCGTAGGCTGCGTAGAACACCGCTTCTGAAAAATAGAAACCAATTAAAAACAGAATAGAAAGTTCATTTTCAGTTACTGGCATTTCAGCACAACTGTTGATCACAGGTGCACGCTTACACAGCTGTTTTGACACTTACGAGCACATTGACTTTACTTGTGTTTAATCCCAGGGGAATTACCCACATTGTAACCATGAACCACATCAACAGACCAATATGCACTTGTCAGCCTCTCTGTAAGGCACACTTGTTCAACTGCTCATGAAGATATAAGTCTAATAAGCCAATCACATGTCAGAAACTCAGTGCTCAGTTGAACATTTTATGACTGTTGGAGCCTGACGGGTCAGTTGGAAAACACAACCCCTAGAGTTTATAGAGAATGGTCTGAAAAAGAGATAATCACAGAAAACTTTAAGTTGGGACGAATTCATTCACATATTTGTTCAAACCAGACACTTATCTCTGCTCCAAACCCATCCAAAACATCTGAAAAAAAATTACAAATGTTATATATACACTACGGCTCAGTTTTAGAAGTTTTAGAACACCCCAATTTTTCCAGTTTTTTATAAAATAATTATGCACTTTAATGTCTGATTGCACTCTGAAATAGATGCATACCAGAGGGTATTGCATGGTGCTGCAGAATGCTGTGCTAGCAGTTTTGGTTCAGGGTGCCTCTCACATTGTGGAACCATCCTTTCGCCTTCTTGACGGCATACAAAAATCCTGCGCGATGAACTGAAGATTTCTAATTTAGATTCCTCAGTCCATAATACCTCCTTCCAGTATTCAGTAGTCCAATGGCGGTGTTTCATGGCCCAGACAAGCCTCTTTGTCTTACTCTTAGCAATGGCTTTCTTGTTGCAACTCATCCTGTCAAACCTGTAGCTCAAAGTCTTCCTTTCACAGATGAAACTGAGACTTGCTGCGACCTTTATTAAGCTGTGCTTGAAGCTGTTGTACAATTACCACTGGATCACTTTGGATTTTACCTCCTTTCACTGGTCTACTTGTTCCTTCTGCCCCTGGTACTTCACAGTTATCTTGTCCTCCTTCTTCTTGATGTCGTGCTCTGGTGGGATTCTGATTTATCTTAGTTGTGGTCTTCTGCTCCTTGTTCAGAGTCTCTTGTGTTTTCCTTTAAGCCAGCCTTTTTGGTAGGATGTCCTGATATCAGCCACTTACTCTATCTGTTGATGGTGCATCCCATGTGGTTTGGTTATCCATGACAGTTCCTCTTTCTGTGGCTCATCATCATCTGTATTCGGCTTCCTGAGGCATTCTTGGAGCAGCTTGTCTCAAGATTTCCCGGATGCTCTGTGTTTCATTGTGGATTGTGGCTCCGACACTCACTCTTTCTGTTACTCATAAAGCCTCATATAGCCTATGTAAATTTCAAAGTATTTCACTGGCATAAAGAGAAAAAATGACATATATAACATAGAAAGTATAAAAAAGGTAGTGCATATCTTTTTGTCTTCTATTGTATAAATGATAACCCCCTATATAAACACCTGGGGTTAGCTTTTAGCACTAAATACACTATTAAAAAATGTGTTAGGGGCTGTGTTGGATAAAGCAAGATATGCTTAGTTATGCTTATATAATGATCGATTTATAGATGGGTGGGTGGATAGACAGATATAAAAGCTGTTAAAGAACTTGCAGGTCAATAGTACTTTGATCATCAGTTTTATATGAAAGAAAGTCAAAAACTACTTTATAATCTGTGAAAAAAATGCAATCACTGAGAGTCTAGAAGAGGCCCTATCAACATGGATGCATACTGTGGGAAGTGATGTGTCTGCCTTAGTACGCAGTGTTCTCAGCAGTTCCATTTTTGGCAGATTTCTTGCATTTAGTGTGAAACCAGTTGGCTGCTGTACTATTTCATCACGTCAGACAATTGAATTAAAAACTGCAGTCCATGGTTAACAAGTTGGGTGCAAACAAAGACATTAATTTTGCTGTCATATACACAACTGTTCAACTTAACTACTGACAGCTGAATCTTTGTGTACTTTCCTCCAAGTATTTAAGAATCACATTCAACTTTATTAAAGAGACTTTTACAGAAAACAGTGTTTCATTTTGGCTGAATTAATGACATAACTATGACCTCTCACCTTTGACTTCCAGCTCAACAGCAGAGAAAACATCCAGGTCCGAGTTTCTTTGGACACCACAGAGGTATGATCCTGAATCACTTTTGGTCAAACTGTTAATGGTCACTGTGAATTTTCCTGAGATTTTGTCATCATCGAGTCTGAATCGTCCATGTTGTCTGCTATGAGAGGTGATTAGTGCCTGCCGACGACATGTGGAGCGCTGATTTCCTCTGCACATGTACTTCAAATTGTTCTGGTACTGAGACTCGTACGGACAACTGATAGACTCAGAATATCCCTCATAGCTTTCAAGCTTGGTCATATTGTCACAGCAGCTGTCTGTCAAAATTATAAATAGAATCAGAAAATGTTGTACAGCCACAGAATAGAGAGAGGATGTTTTATATTTAGCTTGCTGCAACAAGATTGCCTGAGACCCAGAGTTTGTGTGATTTAATCAGTGTCACAGCAGCTGTCTGTCAAAAAGATAAAGGAAATAATCCTTTACACCTTATATTTACATTTTATGTCACCTTGTAATCACTGGAAACACAAACTTGATTGTCTTTAACATCATCTTAATTATTTTACTTCATTATAAAATACATTTTGAGAAGAATGTATTTACCTGGCATTAATTTCAGCTCGACTTCAGTGTAGATATCTTTTCCAAATTTGCTCACCCCACACCAGTATTTGCCAGCATCCACAGAACGAAGATCAAAGATGGTCGTTGTGAAGATTCGTGCTGTTTTGTCATCATGGATAACATATTTGTTTTTCCTTGATTCTGATGTTTTAATAAGAACATCACCGTTACCACAGTTGCTCTTACACAGATACTTCTCATAAGACTCATAACCCTCATCATAGGAGCAGGAAACTTTAACCTCACTCCCCATATATCCAGTCACATGGATCACCCCTACTGCACTGATCACACACCTCAGAGCAACTGTAAAGTAAAGACAGTATAAAAATGTAATAATTATTTGTTTTGTCATGTCGAAAATCATGTATAATAACATTCCCAATAACAGATTTGTTATTCTTCTGTAGCTATTTAAACGACTTACTACAAAGGGTGAACAGCAAGTTTTGAAGGATCCACATCTTTGCTTTGGTTAATCAAAACAGAAACTTGACAGGAATGACTCGCACACAACAAGGAAGCCAGGGTGGAGCCAGACTATCAGTACAGAGGTGACTGGACATCTTCTAGAGGCATTTTAAGATTTGTAACTGACGTATGCCTCCTAGTGTTGAAAGAAATATTCACAGACTTCACACAAAGAACACTGTAAAAGTTAGGTTTTGCACTGAAATTGTTAACTGTAAGTGTATTTAGGAAACTGTGCTTAAATAACTGAAACTAAAATCACTCGATAAACAGGCCCCTTGAGTTTTATATCTTACTATCAATGTTGCATTCACATAAAAGAAGCACAGCAAACATGCATTTTATTCTCTGTTAATTATGTTAATGGTTCAGAAGCAACAGTCTTAGAACTTAAACTAACACCACCACAATGCTACTTTATCCAACCAGTAGCCAAACCAGAAAACTAAAACTGCTGAATTTGCCCAAGGGCCTCCTGGGACCTGGTGTCCACATATGCGGACATCACGTTTTGGATTATCTAGACCAAAATACAAATTAACCTCTACAAGGGCATGATATCCACTTACGAGGAGAGTATACTACCACTGTTCTATTGAAATTTAAAACGAATGTCCTCATATGTGGATCTCATTTTTCTCAGAAACAAAAATCCCCCCCCAAAAATCAGGTAATTCTTTGTTTTTACTTTCATCAGGTCCCAATCAGCCCAAATAGCAAAGAAAAATTAAAAATGCATGGCATGAAAGAGTTCGGGTCTCAGGAGGTTAAAAAGCTGGGTCCTTGAAAAGTTGGTCTAATTTCACAAGAAATGTCAATTATTAGAACAATTATCAAAAAAAGTTTTTTAGTTAAATTTGGTCAGTAAACCAAGAATTTCTACAGTCACAGTTCTAAAAACTCCCCATATATTTGGTAAAGCAGCTAACTAGTTCTGTCAGATAATGCTAATGGAGCAACTATCATCCTTCTTGGTTTAAGCTTGGTAGTGCAGCTGATAACACCCATGTATGCCAACATTTTCTTAAATGTTCCCTGTTCTCTTGTCATATTGTGCTTTGGAATTGTATTTTCCTTCTATTGTAATGCAATGAGCACAAATTAAAACAGATTTGTTCATAGAAAACCTTTAGCTGATTTTCTCTTTAAGCAACTGGGTGACATATCCAGATCCAGCGTGAGACGTGTGTTGTTATTTTTATATTTAAAAGTTTCCTTTGCAATATGCTTACCACTACAGTCACTTCCAATTTTCACAGAAAGATTCATCACAAAAGAGGAACAACAGTCATGTTTTTCTGTCGTCTTTATTTCTGTCTGTCTGGAAAGTCCAAAATGGTCCCCTGGAAAAGCAAATCTAATCATTTCAAATACCGTCATAATTGTTCACTTTATGCCCATAACCAATTATTTGGTGCCACATCATTAGTGAAAAGTAAAAGAAGTTATAATATTAAATATAGCACTTATTTTTAAAAATTACAATAAAATGAAAGGCAAGAATTAAAGTTTTGCAAGAAACACACCTGTATCCAATCTTTATACCTATTAACAAGTGATGCAAACTGCACTCTTGTAAAATACTGCAGTAAAATTACTGGTGCTGTAACCACAGGGTCACTGTGACACGCTAACCAGTGACAATGAAAGTGAGACTTTTTGATGGAAGTTGAGTTTTTTTTAATCTCCTCAGAAGAAAATTAAAGTTGAAGGTTTCATTCAAGTGGCACCAAACTCTCTAGAAGTGAGAAAAAAAGTTTCCTACATAGAAGAATAAGAAAAACAAAAAATATATAAATACATCATCATAAATTTAAGCAATACAATACTGCGGTTATCTCACTTAGTACTGTGGTTGTACTACCAAATTTAAACCAAGCATTACCAAAAATATACGTCGGTTAATAGAAGCACTCCACGGGGGAAACCTGCCACATTTGTGCTGCTATTAGATGGTTACGTGACACATGTTGATGAATAATGTTTACTTTTGTCTGCAAAATTGAATCCAGTAACTGCTTGTGTCAGAAATCTTCAATTGAAACCAATGGGGAAAAAAAAGTATCATAAAATGAAAAAAGCAATGATTACATTTAATTTTTGGTTGGTTTCTCACAGTTTCAGAAGCACAGTCCGCATCATGCTGTCAACAGCAAGCAATACCTTAACCTGAACAGGTTTAGTGTGCTAAGGCAGTGAAAACAGCAAAAGAATGAAAAACAAAGGAACATTTATTAAGTGCAAGCCCTGGTGAACAAAACACTTTGAATCTGTTTTTGAATGTACGCACAGATGTAATTAATCTCATCTTCTATTGGCTTTATGGAAATCTTCATTACAGTAGATTTCTTCAGATTGTGTGCAGTTTTCATAGTCTGGTTCATCTTCACCTGCATCATGATAGTCGTTACAGGCACTCTTGGAGGTCTGCTTCTCTGAATACCTCACAACTTCATCGTTTCCATAAATCTATTCAGAAACCAATGGAAAACACATGATGGTGTTATGGAAACATTTTATAAAGCAAACATTAAAAAACAACATTTTTTTCTGGCACCACTTTCAAACTAAGATTGTCTTATGATCTGATTTCACCACTAATGAGTAAAACCACATCTATCCAGACTCACAATATGAAGAATTATAATAAGAGATGTGTATAAAATACATTATGTTTGACCAACAATTACAATCTGATAGAACACTAAAGGCAAATAATGTTTCAAATATTGCTGCAGATAAATTCCATAGTTTACCGAAGTGTTAGGGTGAAAAGAAGTTAAAAAGTCTAAAACTGGATGCTTCCCACATGTTCTCAGCTCAACATCATAGAAAGTATAAAGCTGCAGCTCTCTTAAGTGTAGCCTGTGGGCCAGAGTATGTCATCAAAAACATTTCGTGCTATCCCCAAATACCTCAATGAGACAATCCACTACTATAAATTTTTTTAGTCGGCGGTTAATTTCACACTGTAGAACTGCAGAACCAGCAAAGGGACTACTTCTCTTTTTTCTCTTATGTTTTCAAATCTTAACTGATTATTTCTTCCTTAAACCGTGCTTGTTGTTGTGATAACTAATTCAAATCAGTTGTAATCCTATAAAATCCCCACAATTTCAAGATGAGCATCAAGTTTTGTCATCAAATCACTGTCACACCTGTTGCAATTATGGTGATTTTAAATGTGATTACTTAATTATTTGATCCTATATTAGTGTTGAACATTATTAGTGTTTGAATTCTTGAGTTAAATGTAAACATGTTTTTTGTGGTCACACAGACATTTAAGTTTAATATTTTGATCAAATCCTAAATTACTGCTTATGTTCATCCTTAAGTTCAAACTCCTGTTTTGTAGAATCTTTCTCCAGGGATCTCAGTGATATCATGCTCAGAACAGTAAGGGTTACAAGGCATAGTTATCAATGCCTGCAAACCTCTTGCTCTCCAAGTGAAATTGCTTAAAAGAATTTGAATTGCAATTTTGGTGATCTGTGACCTTTACTAAACGCCAACACTGTCACATGACAAGACTGAAGCCGTGCTATAGGCTCCATGAAGCTGTGCATAGCAGTAGCAGTGCTTTCATCTAGTGTCAAACTGATGTTTGACATAATTCTGCTCTGTTAAATTATAAAAACTCATAAACGATGAAATGTTTATGATGTGGGACGCCTTGTAATTCCCTTACAGTTACAGTTATGTTGTTACTTGCATTACAAAGGTTCTTCAGTTATATGCTTTTCCTGCTCACTCGTGCTACTATCAGCTGATTTCAGTTCATATGCAGGAGGAGGAGGATATAGTAGGGCTGTACAGCTTTGGAGAAGTGGAGATTCGAACATTACTTTTATTTTTATTGGAAAAAAACAAACAAAAACGAGAGTGTGAACCAATGTCCAAAGAAAAACTTTGAATGACCTTCAGAAAGCCTTGAGAACTTTTTAAAAAATTACATGAAAGTCTTTTGCAAAGTACTGTATTGAACACAGCTAAGAATAAAATCAGTTAGTTGTGGTATAGTGAGACTTGTTGTCTGCTGTTGTCTTACGCCATTTTCTGCTGCACCAATTACTTCCTCTAAACCTCCTGTCTTTGATGTATTTCTGTTCACGACAGCTTCATTACCTGAACACACACAGCATAAAACGTGGTTATGCTCTTTTCGCATGTACATTTCATGAAATTTGTGCATGTCTATGAATCCAGAATATACCTTTTATTTTCTGACGTTTGCACTTATAAACTATAAGCACAAGGACACATATAAGTACCAGCAGCAGGGCGGGCACAGCGTAAACCACATATTGTCCTGCATCTGAAAAACAGAAACCAAAACAGAAACAGTAAAAAAAACATCCTCAAACATTATCCTTTGTGATAATGTTTCTTTTTATTGATATTTGCTGTTGGCCACGGGTGCACACACTCTGTTTTGCCATGAAACTATAACTAGTTCCAAAAAGTATCCATAGCTTATGGAGAGGTAAAATATTTGATCTCACAACACTGATCAACAGCACTATAGACTAAAAGATGCATACTGTATATACCGTACCCTTCATAAGTTTACCTGAAATTTGTGCTGGTGTTTCCACTGTGGAAGCTCCATTGCCAGTGTGCTGCTGAAAGACTGTTGGAGAAACAAGGCTCTTAGCAACTTTTTTTTAAAAATAAAGGAAGGAGTAGAATAGCAGTCAGTTAAGTCTTTCTGAAAGTATTCACTGAGCTAAAGTTAGACTTTAACTAATTTAAACAGTAAAACACCCTGTTATAGGTGCATGTTTTTCTCATTCGAGAATTGAATGAATTGAATCATCATTGAATCATCATATATATATTTTCATTTTCGGTAATATTTCATTAGAAAATAGAATAATTAGTTAGAATAATATTATGTTTATGTATAATAATAATGTTTTAGCTTTTAGCTTGGAGAACTAAGTACACAATCAGAGGTACTTCTGCGAGGCTGGAAGAGGCTGTGTCTATATTTAAGCCACCAAAAAAGTGTAAGTAAGCAGCAGTAAATGAGATTTTCCGTAGTCCTAGTTTTACACGAGTGTCATCAGTCATCACGCTACAAATGACACAATGACATGACACACTGACACAATGGTCTGAGAATAGGGTGTAACTTACAGCTCTAACCATGTTATTTCATGCACAAGTATTCGTCTCACCGACTGAAAGCTGAATCCTGGTGTAGTTTCCATGGCTCCACTGAGAGTCTGACCCACACCAGTATGTCCCAGTATCATCTGCTTGTATCTTTGTGATCGTCACTGAGAAAGAGCTGGAAGAACCATTATCTTCTATTGCAAATCTACTTTGACTCGTCACCATGTCTGTGCATTTGTTGCGATGGTCTCCCTTACAGAGAAACTTCCTGTTATCCCGATGTTGTGGAGGATAGAGACACTGAAAAATTAGTGGATGTCCTACAGTACCATTTATTTGAGTTGACTTGACACAGCACCACTCTGTCAGATGGAAAGACAAAATTGTGAAATCACAAACTATTCAGCTTTCCTAAAAAGTGTTTTGCAGAAAACTGTACTGTAGGCTGTCTTTCAGTTGGTGTAAAGTGATATTACTATGACCTCTCACCTTTGACTTCCAGCTCAACAGCAGAGAAAACATCCAGGTCCGAGTTTCTTTGGACACCACAGAGGTATGACCCTGAATCACTTTTGACCAAGCTGTTAATGTTTACTGTGAATGTTCCTGACACTTTGTCATCATCAAGTGTGAATCGTGCATTTTGTTTGGTGTCAGAGGTGATCAGTGCCTGCTGCAGACATGTGGAGGGCTGGTTTCCTCTGCAGATGTACTTCAAGCTGTTCTGATACTGAGACTCATACGGACAACTGACAGACTCAGAGTATCCCTCATAACTTTGAACTTTGGTCACAGTGTCACAGCAGCTGTCTGTCAAAAATATAAACAGTGTCAAATGACATGTTAGAGTCGCAGAAGAGCAGCATGACATTTTTATATTCAGGTTCTTGTGGGTTTTTTCTTGCTTCACATGCATTTGTGCTTTCAGATAGGCATTGATGTCTATTGAGAGTTTACCGCCCACAAGCTTGAGATTACCACAATAATTTTCAGCGGAAATAAATGATCAAGGCCGCTCTTTTTTTTCACCATCATGTGGTTAGGTGACATATAAAATTATTACAAATAATATATAATATAAATATAATAAAAAATATATATATATATACACATATATATATACATATATAATTAATAAAATTTAAAATCATTTTAATGTTAATGTATCATTAACGTATTATGTTAATGTGTTTTAACATGTGTTAATACATGTTAATGTATTATTTGTTGATTAAAAGGATTAGGTCCTTATACATTAGATTAGACAAGATCAGACAGACAAGGACGGACAGACAGATTAAAATTAGCTGAGTGATTATTTACCTGGTACTAATTTAAGCTTGACTTCAGTGTAGATATCTTTTCCAGTTCTGGTCACTCCACACCAGTATTTTCCAGCATCGGCAGAATGAAGATCAGAGATGGTCGTTGTGAAGATTCGTGCTGTTTTGTCATCATGGATCCTGTATTTATTTTTCCATGATTCCAATGTTGTAATAAGAACATCACTGTCACCACAGTCATTCTTACAAAGGTACTTCTCATAAGACTCGTAACCCTTATCATAGGAACAGGAAATGTTAACCATACTCCCCACATATCCAGGCACATGGATCACCCCTACTGCACTGATCACACACCTCAGAGCAACTGTAAAATCATGAAAATATAGTTAAAAAAAATACATATAATTATTTATTTTGTCAGAGCAAGAGTCATGTATAATATTCCCGAGCCTAATGAAAGCTGTTTTTCTGACCTTAACTACAAAAGAAAAAAGATTTAATGCATTTAAATCTAAATCTTAAATTTGTACTCTTCATCTGTTTACTTTTGTAGCTATTTAGACAACTTACTGCAGATGGTGAACAGCAGGTTACGAAGGATCCACATCTTTGCTTTGTTTCGTAGAAACAAAAAGCTGACAGGAAACGTACTGAAAATGGGACACCCACAGTTTGAGCTACTACATGTCATTGGCAGTACTGAAGCTTTCACTTCTGCATTGAGATACAAATGTTTTTCAACTTGTGCTCATTTGCATTTTTTTTTAATGTAGAAATTTTTCGACATTCTTTAATGTAATTCAAAGTGATTAGACTGGTACTAGAAAATGACTTCTGTCTGATGAATTGCAGGAACATTGTGCCTTTGAACTAAAACAGTTCAGCTGACAAATTTAACACTTAGAATAGAATTTTATTTTCCTGCCACTGAGGGGCAGTACAACCTAATATCATAATAAGAAGGTTCATGTACAACAGGACCATGACTGATTAATATTCCCTGATTAATACTGATTAATAATTTTACATTGTGTTAAAATAGCTCTGGATTTATATTGTTTGCAGGATTTGTTTACAAGACTTTGAATAGTTTTTCATTTTTGTGATTTCCAGTGCAAATCAATTTGGGTCATCATCATTAACACTCTAACCATATGGTATTAGAATATTTATTTATTATTTATTATCATTCTCAAACATCTTGATAATTTGATGATAAAAGGTCATTTTTAACTGATATGCATCAAAAACATTTACTTCTTTTTCCAGAAGTATTCCTTCTTTCCTTTTTCATTTCGTTTTTGTCTTTCTTTTAACAAATATCATCCAAAATGTTAATAGTTAAGAATAGTAATAGTTAGAAGTTAATAATTAGATCATCCTTTTCTCAAAAATTTTGTCAAGATCACTGCGGAACACAGTCACAGAAACACAAAAAAAGAATTTCAGTAAATGTCACGCTGCATCTACTTTTGTTTACTACTAAAGATGTTTTTTTCCCATTCTATATTTAAAGATTAAGTGCATCAGTCTCTAAAGACACACACACACACACACACACACACACACACACACACACACACACACACACACACACACACACACACACACAGCCTTCTCCTTCAGAAACCAGACATACTTACAACCTAAAATATTGCGCCACCATGTAAAAAGCACTGACCCCACCCTGACCAGTGCATTATAAAATGCCACTGGTAGTATACAGTATGTGGGTGGAAGCATACATGTGTATTTTCCCTGAGCTCAGCCATTCCCTGGACTCCAGCTGACCGCTCAGCTGTGCCCCTTGCATACTGTAGCACAAACTGTTTCCATATCTCACACACTCTCACAGTTAAAGGTTAGCATTAAGACCCCCATGCAGAAGGATAAGTGTGTCCCGAATTAGCGAGGATGCCAAGGCAAGCTGGACCATTGCCAAGATGGGTTGCCAGGGGGTATTGAGTGTTTGCTATTGTGGGTTGGGTTTCTGCAGTGTAGCCTGTGTGCATGTTGGCAGTGCGCAGGGCGCGTGTGTTGTGGTCTTCTCAAACTACAACCCAAGACAAGCACACCTATGCAACACACACAGAACCTTAGTATGTTAAGATGTTCTGCACTGTTATATAGAGCTGACCCTCTCAGGTCTCTATCTTTAGCTTTAATGGTATGTGTTGATGCCTCTCTATATGTCTCTACATGTTAACTGAAAGTAAATAACAGAAATTAACCTTGTTTTATAGATTAAACAAAAAGATGAGAAAAATTAGCATTCGTACAGAGGAAAAAGTTCGGAAACCTTGCCCAGTAATAAATAATAATGAAATAACTTGTCTTTACCTTACAATATAAAGTGCCTTAAGTTAACTGTTGTTACAATTTCTGAGGTAAAATGATTTTGCTGTAACATGACAGAATGTGGAACAAGTGAAACGCTGTGAGTACTTTGCAGATAGAATGTACATCTTATGAAATAATCCCATTATTTTAAAAATGATATTAGTATTCAGTTCCTCATAGTTTTTCACTCAGATCCATCCTCACTTATGACAAATAGCACTTACAGCACACATCGTATATTAGCTGCATGTTAAGCTAGCCATCGATGACAACTTCAACTCTGTGTCCTTGTACTTAGTTTTTGATCAGTTAAGAAGTCCAGTTCTGGTCGTGTTTTTCTTCTAGTTTCTCAGCAGTTGTTGAACAGATGCATAAAGACTGGAATATTTAAAGGTCACGCTGTACAAATTTTAACCCACAATTGTTTCCATTAAACCTGAATAATCCAGTCTTTAAAATTTACTATCTATACACACCATCAAAGGTCAGATTATCTCAGCCTTCAGTGTTGAACATTCTTTGTTTCATGTAGCTCTTGTGAATCATCCAACTTTCTAAAACTGCAGTATAAAGTTGCTGAAGTGTTTGTGGAAGTGCTCAGCAACAGGCTTAAAAGCTTTGTTGATTTCAGTATATAGTATTTCAGTATAATGGCCAAGATAATGAGGATGAATTACTTCTATTACTGTGTCATGCATTAAGCAATATGCCCAGCATGTAGGCTCACAAGACACCAATAAAGAAAAAGAAACCCGAGCCAGGCACCATCGCAATTTAAAAAAAAATAAAGTAGAATAATCCAACCTTATGTTTGGATTGACTGAGGTATTTGTTTGCTTGGCTAACCATTTTTATGAGCTGAGTGAAAATTTCAGACTGAGGACATTTTGGACTGTAATCACTTTAAGACACATCTTCAAAGAGATGTTTGAAGGTGCAGACGCAGTTTAATAATAAAGGTAATAAATATGTTTAGGCAGTCTGTTGTGATGAGCTGAGGTAAGGGCCTGGGGAATCATTATCTTAACAAGTGTCCTCACAACAATAGTTAACCAAACGTGTGTGTGTGAAAGGGGAACATTCCATCCATTCTTGGTCTTCCTGAGGAAAGAGCAAAAACATCACACACACAAACTGACACACACACACAGACTGTTGACAGCAGGCAGCAGGAAAGGTGCACATACACGCCTCTAAGGTCATTCACACATCCGCCTCGTCTTTCAGCTCTCCGCCCATCAAGCCTTAGTAGTTTCAGCCATCAATCCATCTGGCAGTCCCTTTTTATTTTGGCAGACATGCTTCTCCTGCCATTAGGCTACAATTCAAAACTACTCCTACATTAAGTATACAATGAATATCCTGTACCTTTAGGGCTGTACACTGTAAAGGTTTTGTTTAGTATAAACTTGAAAATTTGAGAGAAAAACATTAGCATATTAGTATCTGAGCTACCCGGATTATTATGGTGGAAAATATAATTGCTTCCACTTCTCTCACTCAGTAGTGAACACACACACAAACACACATATACATGTGCAGGGAAAGCAGATGCCAAACAGAACAGTGGCTCATCAAAGCTCCACAGGGGCAGCAACGCCAGCACTGACGCACTGCTGCTCTCCTGCCAGCTAATGGTCACTGAGCACTCATAATAGTTTTTTCTTTTGGTTAGTTAGGTGGATAATAAGTCTTTGTTTGCATCCATGTGGGTGGACAGAAAGCCTGGTAACTTTTGGTCCTTCACTTTCTGTTCCTACTACAAACTTCACTTGTCAGTTGTTTTCAATTATCCGCATGCCAGCCACACTAAGCCCCTTTGTGCCGTGCAGTATCTGACAAATAGTGGCAGATTTGTTAATAAATTATAAACAGGGCCCCTCTATCAGGACATAGAGGTCATACTAACACATTCACAACCTGAAAAACACGCCAAGTGTGTACCTTTTTGGTGAGATAACAACACATATCTTTAATTTCTGTAAATATGTACAGTCCCTTTGAACTCATTAGCAGCACACACACACAAAGACTCACAGAGCTGCGTACTATACACTTCTGTCAGAAGACTCCTAAATTTTACAGAAAGCTTTTTACAAAGCAAACTTTCATTTCAAGAATGAGCAGTATCGTCAAGAGAATAAAAATGTTAACCAGGTAGGCACGAGTTTAAATTTAAGCCTCTCGTTCCTTCTTTCACTCACAGTCACTCATGCACAGATTTACAAACATATTTACATATGCAGTAGCAAAATAAAGCCAAAGGGACATTTCGGTTTAAGTAGCACGTTGGCTATTAAAATGTCATAAAACTGATACGATTCTGAAGACGTAGCCTGTAACGAAAACAATAAATCTGTAAGATTCCTTCCAGTCCCTTATTGACCCATCTTCCAAATTGTAACCTTTGCACGTTTTCTTCGCTGACTGAAGCACTCCTTGTTTAAAATCAGAGCCGAGAACAGATCTCTCAGTTTGTGTCTACTTGACATGGGTTTGTTCCTGCATTTTGTACTTGGATGTACAGCTTTAGAAAGTCTTTGTAGCGTGGTGCACAGCCAAGCCAGGCTTCTCCAAAATGGACAGAGCCAGTCAAAAGATACTCGTCCCCTCCAGGACGCACACTGCACTGTGCAGGAACATTGATACGACCACTCCAATTCCGTCCTCTGGCTCCACCCCAAGCAAACACCCTGCTCTTTTGGTGAAACAGTCGTCTCAGAGTCACTGTCGCCATGGAGTGCTTGTTAGTACCTGGTGCAACGCCTTGGAAGACACCACTGCCAGCTACAGAGAAGGAACAGTTTTAATAAAAGAAAATTAAATCAACAGGTTAAAATTAAATAAACTTCAGAAAGCAATGAAAGCTTTTTTTTTTTTTTTTAAAAAAACAAAAAAACTGCTGTCATAACCTCCCTACCCTGGTGTACTGCTAATATCAGAGTTATATTACTGTGCAAGTCTGAGTCTTTCTGTTGACTGTTAACTATAAATGTTCAAATGAAAAGATGAAGAATGAAGAGAACATTTAGACTAAATCTACATGATTGTCAGATTCATAAAAGCAAGAAAATGCCTCAAGACTACTTAGCAGAACACAGGCTAATGCATTAATGAACACTGTGAGCAAGCGAGATACAATTATATCCCATTACATTTTGTTTAATGTCTGAGTACATTTGTGCTAATTGATATGATTTGTTTACGCAGCAAATCAATGTGATTAGGAAACTGATCAAAGCTGTCGCAGTCTGGGCTGCATGTGCC